GGGGTTCAAAATCAAATAAGTCCATGTCCATTCTTGTCAGTTTTGAGATCCAATGCAGACCAAGTTCAAATGGGCAGACTAAATCCAACTGGGGATTGTGTCTGAGTCTGAGCCAAGCCCCTAGAACCCTGAGTTTAAACCAAGTCCAAATGAAGCTTGGGGTAAAATTAAATTAATTCAATTTGATCTTGAATTTAGGTCAAGGTGCAGTCCAGAGAGGGTTCAGGTCAAGTCATGACCTTGTAAAAGTGGGCTTATAACTGAGTGAAGAGTCAAGCAGGTTTGAGTCTGAGTCCAAATGGGGGGTGAGTCTGATTTAGGAGTCCAAACAAGACCAAAGCCTGAGAGAGAAAAAGAGTAAACAGGGTGGAACTGAGTCGAGGCTAAAACCAAAAACAACCCACTCTGGGGTAATCTGAGGCAAGAACAAGTCCAGATGGAGTCCAAGTCAGGGTCGAGTCATGGTCGAGTCTAAATCAGGGTTGAGATCATGTCAAGTCTGAGTCCAAATATGGTCAGATCAAAGTCAAGATGGAGTCCAAACATGGGTCAAGCCTGAGTCTAAATAAGGTCAAGACAGAGACCCACCTGGGCTGAATCGTGCTCAAGACCCAGTCCGAAGCCTGACTGTTCATACCACTGTGATGTTATTTATGGCCGTGATGGACAGGGTTCATCCACAGTCCTTCCTTACTTATACTGAAATATCAAATAGATTGACCTCTGACGTGTGAAACAACCTGAAAAGGCCAAATCAGTCTGAACTGCTCACTGGTAGACCCTGGGGGGCCGAGGAAACCTTGTTTTACAGGATTAAAGTCCAGTTTGGCTAAAATAGTGAGGTAAAACCAGGAGGTTTGTTTACATCCTGTTAACTTGGGATTAAAATGTTCTCATGAAGATGGACAGAGCTAGAACACACAGAATTTCCCTCGAATCTAGATGGACACATCAGTTCAGACCAGGTAAAGGTCAGAGTCCCATTTCAGTCACAGCTTGAAGACCAAAGTCAGTGTTTCCCTGCACTGAGTCAGTGCGTGGTTTGTAGTTTGGATGTCATCACATCGCTGCTGCTGTTAGCATCTGATTCACGCTGATTACCGTGATAATCCTCCTCACCTCATCTGTCTGCTCCAACTGTCTGACGGGACTTTAAACTGGAGAGCAGGAACGGGCTGTTTACAGACAGCTGTTATCAGAGTGTCATGCTGATAAACATGCAAAGTTTGTCCTGAGGCTGGCGCTACAGGAAACATCATTAAAATCTGAAGGGCTCATCCTCTGGAGAGTGGGAAGGAGATCAGGGACTTTAATGAGGATCAGACTCTTAAAACAAAGATTCAGCTCTATAGTTTTTTTATGCATTTCTGAAGACGGCATGGACTGACACCCCCCTCTCTGGGCCCAAATTATGGGTAAACATCATTTAACTTGTATACTGAGCTTCCATAGGAATGCTCTCCCATTCTTTGACACATTTAACTGTGGATTACTGACTGGACCTCCCTCAGTTCTCCTCAGCGCCACTGGATATTGATAAGATGTTTACATGCAGCTCCAGATTAGTAATTATAACTATTATGAGAAGCATATCTTACAGTTGTAGCATAAAGATCAGAGCTGTACATGATCTGCACCTCAGTTACCAGATAAAAGATTTCATTAGCACTAGATAAAAATTAGAATTACATGAAAAAATGCTAATTTATGGCATGAGAGAATCTGTAAATCACAAGCAGTAGAGTTTATAACCATCACCACTGCTAAAAAAAGATCTCAAGTAGCATGACTGTGTAGCTATGAGGAAAAAAGTATCTGATGACATACTCATATCTCTACATGACAAAAAAAAATACCTCAAAGAGAACAGATCTGATAATTACAAGACAAAGATTTCATAATTATAATGTAATTTTATCATAATTTTGTGATTCTACAACAGAATTATGAAACAAATGTCAAATATAAAACAGTGCTTTTTTGTTTTTGTGTTTTCTTTGATGAATGAAACGTTCTTCTGTATTCAAGTTATTAGGTTTCATAAAGTCTATAGGAAAATGAGAGAAATCCCAGTGGACTTTGGTGCAGTCATTGTGTTTGACTCCACACTAAGTGTTTCTGCTGTTTACATGGATAAGTTTGCAGGTTGATCAGGATGTCACAGACAAGATCCTGGAGCCAGATCCTGAACACAAACCTGCTGCCATACAGACACAATAAACACTGACCGGGATGTTCTGGAAAGTCTGGAAACAGCCATCCAGCCAGACGTAGACGGTGGAGCTGATGCTGGTGGTCCGACCGTCGAAGGTGTTGGCAACTGCCAGAAAGTGGTACGGTCCGATGGTGAAGAACTCCCAGTCGTATGCTCCAGATGTGGACAGGGTCTGGTTCACCTCGAACAGCTGACGGCACAGAAGAAGGACAAGAGAAATCAGGAGAAGACAGAAAAATCAAGCAGCTGAGACAAGGGAGGAGGGGACAAAATAGAAGACAGGATGGGAGCAAAGAGTACATGAAACAAGAGACCAGGGTGTCATGAGAAAACAAAAAACAAGGACAAGAGAGAAAGTACAAGGCAGAAAAGGGCACGATGCAAGAACAGAGGGCAGGACAGGCCAAGAAAGATGTACAGTACAAGAACAAGAAAGACTGACATGGTTGAGGACAAGAGAGGGCGGGTTCAGGAGACAGGAAAGTACAGAACAGGACATAAAGTAAGGTGGTGATAATCAGACGGTTTTCACTTATCTGATTTGAAGGTCTCAGGACAGAGGGCATCGTTTGCTGTAAAGACTGTGAAGCCCCTAGAGATTTGTGACACTGGGCTAAATATGTAGAAATTGACTAGACTTGACAAGACAGGACTGCAGAGGACAGCATGCTGGACATGTCCTCTATGACCCAGGCTACAAGTACTTTGCCAAGTATTATCTAAAACAAGGAATTTGACTCCAGCCAAAAACTAGCAAGAAATACTCTGTTACAAGTAGAAGTCCTGCAATCAAAATGTTACTTAAGTAAAAGTACAAAAGTATTATCAGCAAAATATACTTTAAGCACCAAAAGTAAAAGTAGCTATTCAGCAGAATGGCACATTTTCAGATTAATTATTGAAAAATGATTGGATTATAATTACTGATGCACTGAGTGTTAATGTGGCCGCTGGTAAAGGTGGAGCTGACTTTAATCATTTCATGCTGTTTTACATTGCGGAGTACTTTATGAACTGATTATATTGTGCTATTAGTCTGCAAAGTAGCTAAAGGTGTCACATAAATGTAGTGCAGTATTTCCTTCTGAGATGTAGTGAAAAATAGAAATACTCCAACAAAGTACAAGTAACTCAAAAGTGTACTTAGGCACAGTTCCTTTCCAGCACTGAGGTTACCTGTGTGTTCGGGTTCCACCTGTAGATCACACTATGGATGTTGTGGTTGGAGTCTCTGGCTGAGGACACACAAGGACAACTCTGTCATTGTATGGATGCTGATTCAGCAGTTTTCCAATTATTTATTTCTTTATTTATTTATTATTATTATTCCGTATGTTTTTTGGCACTTAATACTTCAGCATACTTTCAGCTAGAAAAGCCATTCAGGTATCAAAATGTTCGGCTTTTTCAGGACATGTGTGGATGTATACAACTTTTTTGTAACTTTCATACTTTTTAAAATATTCAGCTTTATTCTGAAAATTTTTCCCCATTCAAAAGAATGGGGAAATTTTTACTTCTTCATACTTTCAGCTATTTCAGCTATTAAAATGTTCAGCTCTTCAAGGACATTCATAGTACTATTCAGAAGTTTTCAAAACTTCATACATTTTAAATATTTAGCTTTATTATGAAAATCTTGCCCCATTCAAATGAATGGGGAATTTTTTACTTCTGCATACTTTCAGCTATCAGAATGTTCAGCTCTTCAAGGTAATTCATGTTTCTCTTCAGAACTTTTCTAAACGTCATACTTTTGAAATATTTAGTTTTATTTTGAAAATCTTGCCCCATTCAAATGAATGGGAAACTTCTACTTCATCATACTTTCAGCTATTTCAGGTATCAAAATGTTCAGCTCTTCAAGGACATTCATACTACTATTCAGAAGTTTTCAAAACTAAATACTTTTGAAATATTTAGCTTTATTTTGAAAATCTTGCAATATAACAAAGAGTGAAAAATTTAAGGGGGTCTGAATACTTTCCGTACCCACTGTATTTAGCTTTATTTTGACAATCTTGCCCCATTCAAATGAATGGGAAAATTCCAACTTCAGCATACTTTCAGCTAGGAAAACCATTCAGGTGTCAAAATGTTCAGCATTTTCAGGGTGATCTTTCAGCAGTCAGCATCCATACGCATTTTCTTTAGAAAAATGCAATTTTCTAGTTTTAAACTGTGATACAACACCACAGATACACACCATAAACCTGTCCAAGTCTTATGTAATGTTTTCATGCTGAAGAAAACTTTAAAAAGTGATGATCCTCTGGCAGATTCTGCAGTTATAAGGAGTGTTGCCTTTCTGCCATTTCTAAGCAGGTTTTAATAATAAAAAATAATAATAAGCCGGAGACCCCTGAACCACAGTGGTTTGTCCACACAGCCATGTGTGCACATACATGTTTGGATGGAAAGAGAGATTAAACAGCATATGGTCAGGTGGTTTCAAACAGCATGGAGTGTGTGATCTGACCACAGTGCACCTGCATCAGCTGCTCTCTTTCACATCATAAACAATATTTCCTTGTTTCCAGCTCAGATCCCTGAGGGTGTTTTATCTTCACAGGAAACACACACACCACACGACATGAATGTCTGCTGAGAGCAAGTGGAGGTGTGTTTGATGTTTAAGGTTCAAGACAACTCTCAGGGTTTACCCACCAACAAGCAGCTCACTCTGCTGTTCAGGAAGATGATATCTGCACCATCTCAGCAGCTCAGGAAACCTCTGATTGATGCTTTAATACTGTTTTGACATAGTTTTGGTCTTTCTGTGATACAAAGCTGATGACATCCACAAACCATTCAGACTAAACGCAAACGCTATTTGATATCTAAACTGCATGGTCCTGACTGGGTTGGACTCACAGTGATGGACTGAAAACCAGCTCCCACCCAAAGAGTGTTTAAATTAAACTTGTCTGCTTCCTCTTTACCTCGCCAGTGATTGGCTACTACCAGGAAGCTGTGGTTGTAAATGTTGAAGGCCTCCCAGTCCTGAGCAGCGTAGGTCTCCAGTGTCTGGTAACGAAGGAAACGCCGCCGACGCCAATTCCACCGGTAGATGACAGACAGCTCAGGCTCCACCTCTCTGGAGTTGGCCACCACCAGGAAAATCTGCCGGAAACAACATAAAAACTGATATATGTAATTTATGCAACATCACAGTCACTTGACCCTCTGGGTATTGTCACACTTAATAAGACCGACATGGCTCAACATCCACCTACTTTTCACATACTTCAGTTGTTTTGGACTGGGTGTATTTCCTGGTTCAGACTTAGTTCTGGTGAAGGGGAGTCTGAACTAACTGATGTTTTATCCACTTGTTTTGAGCAGAAACAACACAACATATCAGCACCTTTTAAGTTATGATAAATTGGTTTCTTATGTCCACACCTAGCAGACACAGATCAACATGCTCCTCTATGCGCTGTGTGTCTGTGTCCCCCCGATGAGCCTCAGCCCAGTGCTCCCTCTCTGTTCACTCTGAGTTTGGTCTCCACCTCATCCTGAGGGGAACCTCTGGCTCTGAAGCTGCTAAATGCTCCACTGTGTTCCCTAGCTGGTCTCTGACTGGCTCTGTCTGCTGCTTGCTGCTGAGCAGGTCATGGACAGCGGCTGTTTGGAGCGTCTCCCCTGGAAACAGCCAAATCTTTTAAAATGATTGGCTGATGATTTTTTACAGGCATTCCCTATTCTCACTACTCTGTGACATCCATTAACCCTCTCCTCACCGTGCTGCAGCTGCACAAGTTGAAACTGGATTCATTCATTTATCATGCAGTCAGTGTCAGTTCACTGAAGGTGAAGTGGTTGTCATCATGCAGGTCATGCTTCCACATGCAAATTGAAAATGCATATTTAAATACATTTAAGTCTCCTGTGCACATATCCAGCTTCACAAAGATTGTTTCCCATTTTACTGTGGGACACCTGGACCTACACACAATCCAAACTGTAATGAACTGGAAAATAAGTCTGAACAAAAATACTTTGAGTTAAAAGACACGTCAGTTTCACTGTGTACGTCTCACATCTCTCATAAAATCATTCCTATGTCCTTGGACAACCCAGAAGTTGTTCCGGTCGACCAAGGACATAGGACATTCCAAGTCTCTCATATCGGCTCTAAGGAACAAAAAGCAAGGACTGGGGACGGTGCTGGAGGAGCCATGGCCAAGGATACATGAGGTTACATGACTCCTTCACAGAGGTTTTCTGTGAACCAACATGCCCCTTTATCAGAACTCAGTTGGTGACTGGACGCTTCAGATGAAGGGTCTGAGGAAAGGACACCTCATGTCATTAATAATGTGTTTCCTCGATACCTCTCTCCTTGCACATTTTCGTCACATCTTTTCCTCACACCTTATGTGGGCAGGGCTAAGACACAAGTGAGGGAAACGGTGGTGCTTGTAAGAGACATGAGACGTACCTTCTGCCCACTTATGCTGGAGGAGCAGCTAAAACAGGTGACAGCAATCATGGCCCAAACAGGAAGTGAAAAGGGCTGTTACCTGCAGAGCTGCATGTTAACACTTGTGTGTGTGTGTGTGTGTGTGTGTGTGTGTGTGTGTTGCTCTGTAGGAACGTCCTGTACTGTACAAACTAATCCAACACAATGTGAACACAAGAGTTCAAACACCTGAACTCTGTCTGTTCTCCTTTTCTTCTGGTTGCTGCAGGTGCTCTTTGGCCTTTTAAAGCCACTGCTTTCTCTGAGTGTGCTTACAGTGTGTACTGTTCACACTGAGCAGAGAGAAGCCTGAACGCCTCAGAGGCCACCGTCCAGGATCCACTCTGGACTGTGACGGGGATTTGGTACAGTGGCCACATTGGCCAAAAAACCTTTGCCCATATACAAACATAAAAAAATTAAGAACCATAAAAGGATTAGTGTATGAGCTGCTACTGATACTACAGTGTAAATATACTTAGAAATAAAGTAATGCTTTTAAATAATGGAAATACTAAAGTATTACTGTATATAACAACATAATTTATGATGCCTGATTGTATATAGGTAATTTGGTAAATGTAGAGCTTTACGCATTTAGATTAGATTAGATTAGATTAGATTCACCTTTAATGTCATTACCCATATACAAGTACAAGGCAACGAAATATAGTTTAGCATCTAACCAGAAGTACAATAACAGCAGAGCAGAGTGCACAGTATCTACAGTATGTACAGTCAGAGCTAATTTACCGATAGATATGTAGGGTAATGTACAATATACAACAGACTGTGGATCTAAATTACAACTAATGGATAAGGTATATTAATCTTATGGAACACTAGTGCAATGGGATGACATGGAATGAAATAGTGCAGAATAAGAAGATAATAAGTTACATGAGTGAACAGTTCAATAGATGTAAATAGTGCAAAGATAAAAATAAATATACAGTATCTGCATATGTACACTGTGCAAATTAATGAATTTATCCACTACCGGGTAGCGTAATCTATTTAATCTAGCAATAAGATTATATTTGTTGATTGTGTTTTGTATTATTAATATGAATCTGCAAATAAACTAGTAACCAAGTCATCCAGTAAAGGTATTTCCTTCTGAAATGTAGTGGAGTACAGTAAATGTATGAACTGACACAAATTAAAACATTAAAAAAAAGAACAAGTACATTGAAACTGTACTTATGGAAAGTACTTGAGTAAATGAACTTAGCAACTTTTGACTGCTGCTTTTCAGAACTGGTTACATTAGACTAAATTATTAAAATACAAGCTTGTTGTTAAACATTGAAACAGGTCACTCAGTTGTATTTTTTGAGTTGTGGTTGTACAGTAACATGCAGGGCTCTGAATAAGACAGCCTCAAACAGAATTCTGCTCATTTGTCCATCTTTCACATTATCATTTATTTTTATTCATTGACAAATGCAAATACGCCATCAGCTTTGTATCATTGTTTGTGTTTTCAAATATTACTTTATTTTCATACAGTTTTGTTTTAGGGTTTTTTTTTGCCTTTTTTGTGAAAAGCAGTTGTAAACCACCATTTATAGATTCGAGTGCATGATGACGCCAATTCGTGGAGCAGCTCTCACCTTGTCTTCGATGGTGAAATGTTTCCAGGCTCGAGCCTCCTGAGTGCTGATGTTCTGGTGGAGCCGGAACAACCCGTCTCTCCATTTGTAGATCCCTGAACCGGGCCGGGAGCCCCTGCCAGAGGAGACGCGTGGGTCAAAAATATAGAGACACCTGTAACTAAAATCATATTCTCTATACTCTTGGTGTTTTCTATGCAAACTTCTTAATGTGAAATTAGTGACTAAAGCTGAGAAATAAATGCAGTGAAGACCAGAATATGTCTCCCTTAGATGTAGTGGAGTAGAGGTATAAAGTGCAATGAAAAGGTAATACTCAGGTAAAGTACAGTACCTCACATCTGTACTTAGGTACAGTAGTTGAGTAAATGTAATCTGCACCAGTGATAACTATGGAGCCACAGAGGATACAGGACAGTCCATCATGTCCCCACAATCCCTAGTGTGGTCAAATAATCCAGTCCAGGTCTTAGGCGAGACCAGGCCGTTTTCTCCAGGTGTGTCAGTACCTGTTGGCTGCAGCCATAAACAAGCCTTCAGAGGGGATGGAGAAGACCTCCACGCTGAAGGTCTCTGAGCTGGTGTACAGGTCCTGGTAATCCTCCACATAATCCAGACGCTCCTTCTCTGCAGGAGACATTCAGGATTTCCCTTGTAGTTCAGGTATATCACACCGGGGTTTCTTAAATTCATTTTTATGTTAGTAATATTTTTATTAATATGATTTGATATACATTTTTCAATAAAATTAAAAGTGTGAAGTTGTGTTTTTTTTTTTCAAAAGAGGCTGCAGTTTTCATTAAAACATCCTTATATATTTATTTATTTTTTAACCATGATCTTTAAAATACTTTTTAAAGATCATGTACAGTTGGTGACAGATGAGAGGACAAACCACCACCCAGCGCCCAGCAGGGCCTCATCAGGGCCATGTCTCCAGAGCAGCGTCAGGTCTCCTCTGTCAGAGGAGGAAACCTCCTCCTTCTAAACCAGATCCCCTCACTGTGTCCAACCCACTGTGTCGTCCTCATGAAGCCATTCAGTGACTTAGAGCTGCAGCCAGCATGTTCTGGTTCCACCTTCTTTAATGTGAGGAGCTGATGCTTTTCTTTGTCAAAATCAGCTGAGTCTCTGTGGATCTGCTGGTTGGACACAACAAGATGTGTGGAGACGCCACCTTTGGCTCTGGAGAGTCACAGTGGGACTTTTTTCCCCAGTGTCTGACATTCTGGTGACAAACAATCAGATCATCAGAACAATGATCAGCTGATTGATCAGTGACCTGCTGGTTGGACTTCCACTCAGTCAGGAGTCTCCTCTCATCTGTCACCAGCTTTATCTACCATGTTTTTCTCTGATGTGGACACAAACAAGCTCAAATTAAAGGTCACAGTCAGCAGTTTAATTTCAAATCCACTGTGATTCTCTCTGACAGTAGAGAGTATGAGGAGGCGTTTAAAGGACCGTGGGACTCACTCTGCAGCAGCGTCTGCCATGCGAGTCCATCACAGATGAACAGGCCTTTTCTCTGGGCATTGAACCACAGCTGGCCTTGTTCTGGTCTCGAGCATGCAGGAGGATTTCCCAGAGTCACTCTGGCCTCAGCCTCTAAAAAAACAACATGACTTCACAAACTGTGTTTTTATGATGTGATGGAGGGTTAAGCCTGAACTAGAAACAAGAAACATGCTGTCAGAAGAGTCAGTGTAACTGCAGTTCTCATGAGGTACACACAGTACAGTAAAAAGTAGAATATGTGCCTCTGAAATGTGGTAAGAGCTAAAGAATAAAGTGGCATGAAAAGGAAAAACTAACACTGTGCAGTCAGAGTGACACATCATCAATCATCAACTGGATTTCTACAGTAACTGTATCTGTGTGTGGTTGACAGTTCTGACTTAATGAGGGGAGGTAGCAAGGGTTTTCATCACTTGTTCCACCACATGTCTCCAACAGGAGCAGTCAGAAAAAGGTGAGTCTGTTGTTAGCCCACACATCAGTCAACATCAGCTGGAGGGAGAGGGCAGAGAGGCTGCTAATGAGATAACCTGCCTCATGATAAAACCACTGATTTACCCCAAAGACACACAACTGTGTGACAACAACCCTTAACTGATGGCACCATCGGTAATGATATATTTTGTAGCACCTGGTGGGTCCAGTCAAACTCAGACAACTGAGTCTCATTTTCAGTAGTAGACGCAGTGTCCCCACTGACAGTACGAGAATGAGCAGCAAGCAGCTCCTGTGTGCAGTGTCCCCATGGAGGTCACTCATCACTGTGACATTGAAGAAACTTAACAATAGGAGGATTCTCAGGCAGGTGCTGCAGCCTCTCACACTGAATCAGAAAATCTACTTAGGCTGTGTCTACATCTGACACAGTTATTATTAGCCAGTGAAGTATGACTTCATATGTAATTAGCGTCAATCGAGCACCATCAAGTGAGGTAAAAGACTGCTAGAATGTGCATGTTTCTCACATCTCATGAATCAAGCACAGGCTCCATGAGAGGACAAACACCCGTCACTGTCAGAAAACCGATTAAGGCCTGAAGTCAAGTTCAGCTGCCTTCATAGTTCAGGGGGTGCAGCCTGCTGTGAGCAGACAGTCGAACACACCACAGGCTGCAGGTTTCATATAAATAATGACTCATAATGAGTCTGATCTGACTGAATTTGATCTGCTGCACTTTATTAACCGTCTGAGCCGCAGGCTGCTCAGAAACAAATCACTGTTTACTTTAAAATACGCTCAGAGATTTGTGGCAATCTCGTGATTGTTCTCCGTCGCCTCCAGAGTCAGATGATGGATTTCAGCTTAATCTCTGTCTCCAGTGCAAAACTCCACAGCAAATTTAGCCATATTTACCAAAAATGTAAAACTCTGAGATCCTGGTGGGGCTGCAAATTAATTCTCAAACTAGAATTATTAGTTTCTATCATTTGATAGCGAGGAAGCTACAGCTTCCAAGACAGCAAATGAGCCAGTCACCACTCCAGTTAGCCTATAAAAAAAAATAAGAGAGTCAATAAAGAATGTCAAGGAGTGAAGGAAAGTAAAGAGCAAAAATAAAGCACAATAAGAAATAGACAGCAAAAAAAGAAGGTGACGGAAAGGCGTTGTGCTAAGCTAAGCTAAATATGCTTGCAATGAGCTGAATTAATTCAAATACTTTTTAATAACTGGAGTACAAGGTTCACCAATATTAGCATTAGCTTGCTGGCTAATGCTGGTATAACAGCATGGGTATCTGCTTCTTGTGTTGTTTTTTTGGCTAAAAATAAACCTGCTAGCTTGATCGTTCCCTGTTAAGCTAGGTTAAGTGTCTGTTATTCATTCTGTTTTCAAAGACAGCAAAACTCCTATTCTAATTCTGTCATTTCTGTTCTCGCTTTTGCTTATTAAAAAAACACAACAGAAAATAAAACTTTTCATTATTTCATGTTGTGTTAATTTTGGCTTGTGTGATATTTCCAACCATATTCCAAATATATATTTATAAATCTCTTACATTTGATCTACATGGGAAGGCTTGGTGAAACACACTGTAGCTTCTGCCCTGACGGAGCTTGAAGCTTGTGCTAAGCTAGGCTAAGACATCCCGGACCTGTGTCTACATGTACACATCTGACACATCTCTGAGTGTACTCATGCAGGCAGAGCTATAGTATACTGTATATGCCTAAGTATTTAAAGTAAAAGCCCTGAGTGTGTCACACATGAGTGGACACAATAACACGAACACACCTGCATGGTGGTATTTTTAAAACGGTTGATAACCGAGGCAGGAAACAGCTCCACCAGCCTGTCGGTTACTCTGCAGCTCAGGTTACTGAGTCACTGACACCATCACAGCCTGGCGTTTACAGTTCAAACACTAACACACTACTGCTGGAGCAAGTCATTTGTTGCTTCACTTTAGCAGGTAGTACTGACACCGCACAGAAAAATACTGATCGATCTCTAATTGGATTTATTCTGAATGAAGATCAGAGATAATTAGTGGGTTTCCATCCAACTGAACGTGCACACTGTAACTGAGGTTTGAGAAAATCTGGCAGAAAAGGTAAAAAGTGAATGAATGGTTGTTTCCACCCACTATCATTATGTAAATGTTTCCTGCTTTTCAACTCAGGTTTTTAATTTACCAACTGAAACTACACATTCATTACACTAATGATGTGAGAGTCATACTGAATCTAAAACTGAGTTTCATGTCTGTGTGTTCAGATGCGACTGAATTATGACAACCAGACATCAGGTTAAACCCCGTGCTCCGGATAATCGGGTCTCAGCGTGCTCACATGGACTGCTACTGATTTTGGCCATAGTGAGGATATGAAATTTTCACAGATAAATCAGGTTCTGCATTTTCCTTTGATAGACTGTAGCCCGGTTTTCTCATCAGGTCATGGCCCTGATGACATTTGTAACACCCCTCTCCTCACCGTACGGGTAAACTGGTCCCTGCTGGTCTGCATGTAGAAGGGTGGACTTCAGGATCTGGGGGACGGACAGCTCAGCCAGACTGGGGTCAGAGATTGGGCACAGTCTGTGTGTGGCATCTGATCCAGGAAGTAGAACCAGCTGCCGCAGTAAACCCTGGCACAGATAGACCAGTGTGAACCAGCAGACTGGACGAACTGGGAGGTAAATATGATAAACAGTCAGAATCAGTCGGACCCTGAAGGTCTCATCTTATCCTGAATTCAGACTCACAGAGAAGCGTCCCCTCCACCTCCTCCTGCTGCCAATGAAGAACCTGGACCCTCTGGTGCTCAGAGTAGCAGGGAAGGACTGGACCTGTTTACTGGGAGGACCAGAAACAAGTTAATGCCACAGGTTGACCTCCTGCTGTGTCTACTGACATGACACACTGAAACAAATTCTGTCAAATACAGATTCTATAAACTGGTCTGAACTGGTCTAACGGGGACTCACAGCTCCAGAGGAAGTCCACAGTCGACAGTTAGAGTGGCGTATGGTCCAGTAACGGCCAGCACCACAGTGTGCCAGTGGTTATCATCTAATCCAATGTCCTTAAAGCTCAGTCGGCTCCGCCTAACAACACCAGGGGGCGTGACCAGAAAGTGGAGGTGGTTCTCAGAGACACGCAACCCGAGCAAGAGTGAATCAGATCCTTCCTCCACCACAGAGAGGATGTACTCATTTGTCTGGAAACAGAAAGAACAGCAGGTTGGACCTAACCTGATTGAGCTGGGCCAAACCAGGCCAGACTAGACCAGGTTCAAATTCAATCAATCAAATCTTATTTGTATAGCACCAAATCCCAACAAAAGTAATCTCAGGACACTTTACAAAGTAAGGTCTAGACCTTACTATTATCACTATTATTACAGAGGGAAAATCCAACAAATCGCCTTGAGCAAACATTTGGCGACAGTAGGGAGGAAAAACTCCCTGTTTCTGTTCATGTCTACTGATTCACCTTTGGTCTCAGTCTTGCTATCTTCATGGTGGCAACCAATGAGAACTCAGCAGGAGAGTATTCAAAGATCTGGGAAGCAGGGAAACTCAGTGCTGTCGCTGCAGCGCCGGCCAATCGGAGGCCTCTGGACCCTCTAGACTGAACAATCTGCACCTGATTGGTCAGATGACTGATCATATGTTTATCTGGTCTGCAGTCATTCATTGGTTCATACATTCATCGCTTCATTTTTTCATCCACCGCCCCTCCCTCCTTCATCCACCTGTGTCCTACCTGTGTGGGTGGGGCTTGTCCTGGGTGTGGCAGGGCTCTGGTCAGCAAGTCAAGAGGCAGCAGTTCTGAGGAGGAAACAAATACTTCAAATACACACTGTGTACACAGCAACAGCACATCACGCTTCAACCGGTATCAACTAGAGGTCTTCACGAGTCCAGACCTGACCCTGGACCTGAATCGGGCTGATAAACTTCAATGTTGACAGAGATGGGTAATGTCTCTGCAGCAAGTGTCAAAACCCTCACTGTCACAGACACGATATGAAATAAAGTGAGTACCGGCTGAGTAAGTCACTGCAGATGTTGTACAATGGCTGGCTTCTAGCAGGACATTTCCTTACACCACGACTGATGCGAGTGTCAGCAGGCAGTCCTCTGGTTGGCTGACTGTTAACCCTTATCAGGCCTCAGATGTAAATGAGCTGCAGACCAGATCTCTAACACATTAACACTTCAGTTTATTTTTACCACATTATTGCCTCAAAGGCCTTTCCGTTCTGTGGCTTCAGTGGTGATCTGACAGTAAACGTGTGTCAGCTTTTGGCAGCTCTGATTCCTGCAGTAACAGTAATATGAAGTGCAAAGTTTGCGTTTTCAGCCCATCAGGCAGTTCATACTCAAACCAGCTTCAGTAGTAACACACAAAGAAAAGGTGCATTACTATTGCAATAAATGGTTAAAACTTCTATATGAGTGTTCGGAATCTGTGGAAAGATAATACAGTGACAGCTTGAATGGGTGTTGAATCTTGTGAGCACAGAACTGTAAGAACAACTAGAGCAGCAGCAGGATGTTCGTTCCTGCTAATCAAAACAATGTTTTGCTGTGTTTTTACAGCAGTGAAAGAACATGACCTGGCTACTGCAGCATCAGGAATGAGTAACACTGTATTCAAAATGTAGACAACCTGAGACCAAATGTAGACAGAGGCAGAAAAGAGACATAAGAAGGGAATCGGACGGAGTTTAAATCTTTGTTTCTTAACTGACAGCAACAGGTGGATGTTAGTTTTTATCTGGAATTCCCCTTTAAGCTCATCTGAGGCTCCGTCTGTGTGTTTTGTTGCTGCAGTGGGATCATTGCAAAATGAATTGAAGATGAATGGAGGGAGGGGACGACATGCACAGAAACACATCTCGCATTTCAAAGACTCAAAAAAAAAAAAAACAACAAAGCACAAAGCAGCAGAGAGACGTCTGGAACACATGAATCACACCGGCCAGGTCACAGAGAGCACTGAGGAGTGTAAAGTTAGCTAACACTGGAGAAAAGATGAGAACTACAAAGTCACAGATGTCCTTGTTAGCTTCAATGCAAACTGCTGCTACTGTTTCCACACCTGTACAACAATCAGACAGACCTGAAGATGGAGTTGTTACTTTTAATTGAGTTAGGCTAACAGTTCCCCATGCTCCCAGTGTCTGTGCTAAGCTAGGCCAAGTAAAATGTTTATTTTCAATTTTGTTTCCCAAGCCTGCAAAGCTCCTTTTCCAAATTTGACATTTTTATTTCTTCCTTGTTTGTATACAAAAGTTCACCTCAGGGAATAAAACTTGAAACATTTCTATCGAACAGTTTTTTTTTGTTTTTTTTTTTGGCTGAACTCCATTGCCTGTATATACATAAAGATGGACGATGAGACGGCTCCCGGAAGTGATGCCACCATGAGTCGCCCTCTGATCTCTGATGGCTGGTCGCAGCATAGGTCATAAACCCCGCCCCCTCCATGTTAGTGGATGGGCCATGAGTCAAACTAAAACTCAAAATACAAATCAGTTATTTTTCCAGAGGTGATTTCTATAATTTTATTTAGGTATCATCATGCTGATGTCATTTGATGATATAAAAAGGGGTGGCAGGAAGTGGTGACACATCATCCATTTACAGTATTCTATATTATTGTGTGGTATCTGCAAATCATATTTCAAATTTAGATGTTTAGTTTGGGATGTCACCTAGGATCCTCTGCAACTTCTACAACTGCATCATTGAGAGCATCTTGATCAGCTGCATCACTGTCTGTTATGGCAGCAGACTGCAGAGAAGATCACCAGGACTCCACTGCCCTCTCTGCAGAGCATGTACCACCGCAGGGTGCGTAGGAAAGCTGCCTCCATCCTCAAAGATCCCACCCACCCCCAGCACGGACTGTTCACTTCTCTGCCCTCTGGCTGGAGGATCAGAAGTGTGAAATGCAGGACCACTAGACTGAAAAACTCTTTCTTTCCCTCTGCCATTAGACTCCTAAACAGCTGAGGAGTTTATTACCAGGAAATATGTGATGTACTATTTACATTCTGTTTGCACATGCATAATTGCACATTGGCTGTTGACTGCTGCACATGCTGCT